TAGATTCCAATATCAAAAAATTACAATCTCAACATTTTGTAAAGAACTCTGAGGCACGCGAGCTAAACATTTTAGTACAAATTATAATAACAAATATTTATGTCTTATAAAATAGGCACTTCATGAAATTATTCTAAAGATTTCCATTCGACAAATTAAGAATCATAATTATTTTGCGCCAACAAATCATCTTCGCTGCTGGACCTCCTCTTCGATGAGACAAATCAAGTTCTTAGAAGAGCGGAACGATAAACCTGTCAAAATCTAAACACGCCCCGGTCCTCCGAAGGGTATATAAACCCGAAGGGTATAGATTTTGCGTCCTGTGAGTACTCCATGTCAACTTTAAGAATAAAGCACTTCGTATCATAATTTTCCAAGTCAACTACTAGCCGACTACTGCTAGTCGAGCTCTTCGTATCAAAGTTGTACCTAGATTTTTTTGTGATCGCCTAACATTAGTCGATTATTTTAGTTAAACTCATCTGATAGTCTTAAATCTTAAACTCCAACTGTACAAATCTAACAACACAGACTTAGAATTTGTTCATAAATAAAGGAATAAAGAATTAAAGTAACATAAAATCAGTGCACGTCTATTCTACCAACTCCACCCTGAGACCGAGGTCCTCAAGGAGAGCGACAGCCAGGCGTTATCACCAAGAGCAACCGAGAAGACTCTCGTCTCCGGTACAGAGGTGAAAACAAAATCTCTTTAAGTCTCAGCTCAACTCTATCATCTCTTATATATATAGATGCTCAATGAAAAAATAATACAAATGCAACTAATCTGTAACAATGCTTAAGCTCGTATATAAACAAACACAATGATAACTTATTAAATATTACGAGGTCATGTGTAACGAGCAATAAAAAATTATTATAAAACCGAGAAAAACTTTAATTTAAAAAAACCAATTACAAACGTTTCGAAATATATTGTCTTCTTCAGTGCGTAATAAACATAATAATAAATAAATAAATATAAATAAAAATTCTAATAAAAGGTCGCAATACAATGTCAAAATAAATTAAATAATTATGTCAAAATTAAAAGGCGAAATACGTTAACAATAAATTTAAATTATTAAAAATAGTCCAACACGAACAGTCCCAATTAGAAGCAAAAATCGAATTAAAATAATTCATCCGGCTAATCAATATTATTTTAAAAATTATTATTGAGAGAACTCGGAGTGGCATTTAAACATTACTCCAAACCAATCGCTCATCGTTAGTCGGCGAAAGGCTATCAGTCCGGCAATGATCGTGTTCATCCTCTCCAAGTTTTTTTAAATATTATAAACTAAATTTAAAAAATTTATAATATAAAATAGAAATCAACTTATGTATGTGTGAAAAATTAAAAATTGAAAATTAAAAATTAGTTAATTGTTGCTTACAATTGTTTCCGAATAAATTGAGATGACCATGCCTCTAATTGTTGTTGAACTTAATACTTGACTGATGTCGAGTCATTTAAAAAGTTGAATAAATAGGTGTCAAGTCGCAAAACATAAACATTTTAATAAGTCTAAAAATTCGCTATTTCTTCTAGAATGTCAAAATAAGCGTTGTTGAGCAATTCAGTGTCTGTATTATTATTTATACCATGCTTTTGTTCCCCTTTATGTGTATCATCTCCGAGATAAGTCTTTTATAATAGTTAGATTCAATATCAAGTATTTTGACGTTATCCCAATCAAAAGCATGTTTTTTATCTACAATATGTTCCGAGACTTCCGAATGCTTAGAAAAATCAAATTTAATGTTATTAATATAACAAAAATTATCCATTGCAAACCCATGTAGAATCCTATCCTATTGCAAACCCATGTAGAATCCTATGAAAAATTAATCATTGCAAACCCATGTAGAATCCTAGGCAAAATTAACCATTGCAAACCCATGTAGAATCGTACCCATTGCAAACCTATGTAGAATCCTATGAAAAATTAACCATTGCAAACTCATGTAGAATCCTATGAAAAATTAACCATTGCAAACCCATGTAGAATTGTATTAAAAATTATCCATTGCAAACTTATGTAGAATCCTACATTGCAAACCCATGTACAATAGAATTGTATGAAAAATTATCGATTATAAACCCATGTACAATCGTAACAAAAGTAATGAAATAAAAAAAAAATTGCGCCAAGTGAAAGTAGAAACTTGTACCAGTGGAAAATTAAAGTTGCAGATATATATAGAGTCGTATAATGAATCAGTAAAAATTTAAATTTGCAAATGTAGAATCGTACCATAAAAAAACTTATCTTTTAAAAAAAAAGATAAACAAGATGCCAAGTCCATGCGCCATGTGAAAAAGAAATAAAAAAATTTTAGTTAAAAAAACTGGGAGCGCTGCTAAATAATATTCTAACAATATTAAAATTAAATTGTTACTTTTAAACTCATTACAGTTAAAATATGTTTGTGTTTAAATTAATTAATGTTACTTTAAGGTGCATTGTAATTTTGAAACTTAGCAGCGCGCCCAGTTTTTTTAACTAAAATTTTTTTATTTCTTTTTCACATGGCGCATGGACTTGGCATCTTGTTTATCTTTTTTTTAAAAAGATAAGTTTTTTTATGGTACGATTCTACATTTGCAAATTTAAATTTTTACTGATTCATTATACGACTCTATATATGTCTGCAACTTTAATTTTCCACTGGTACAAGTTTCTACTTTCACTTGGCGCAATTTTTTTTTATTTCATTACTTTTGTTACGATTGTACATGGGTTTATAATCGATAATTTTTCATACAATTCTATTGTACATGGGTTTGCAATGTAGGATTCTACATAAGTTTGCAATGGATAATTTTTAATACAATTCTACATGGATTTGCAATGGTTAATTTTTCATAGGATTCTACATGAGTTTGCAATGGTTAATTTTTCATAGAATTCTACATAGGTTTGCAATGGGTACGATTCTACATGGGTTTGCAATGGTTAATTTTGCCTAGGATTCTACATGGGTTTGCAATGATTAATTTTTCATAGGATTCTACATGGGTTTGCAATAAGATAGGATTCTACATGGGTTTGCAATGGATAATTTTTGTTAATGGCGTGCCCTTAACTGGTCGCCTTTTTTTACCTTTTTTTAAAGGTGAGTTTTTAGAGATTATAATGATGACGGGGACGTTTCCCAGACAGCACAATAACGTTTTAAAAACGTACTAAATATATATATATTGGACGTTTCGTACATATTTAAAACATCCAGATTACAGCCTCAGACATTTTTAAGACATTTTAAATATGTCCAGTGTTACTGATTTGGACAATTAAAAAATGTCCATTTTATATACCAAACGGACTAAAATTGGACCTGTTTCGAACATTATTTAAATTTTTTATAGTAGGTTTAACAGCACATATATTCAAAAGACGTTCAGAGGACATCCAAAGGACATTCAAACATCCTCTGGATGTCCTCTGAACATCTTTTGGATATATTGTGCTCTAGGTAGGTGTAGGTAAAATATTGTTTATTTTTAACGCAAATTGGAGTTAACTTGTTAGCAACTTATTAATATAGTATAAAATATATATACAAATATTGTAATTGCTAACAAATTAAATTCCTAATGTAGCATTAAAATTAAACTTTAAGAAAAAGAACAAATTTAATATTCTTTTAAATATATATTAAATTTTATTATTTATTATATATTTTTATCATGTCTCATATAATTTTAATATTGTTTTAACATTTTTAAATTATAAATAAAATAATATTTATTGCGGAAAAAAGAAAACGAATTTTGTTTCTTTCAAAAAGTAATGTACATGACAAACATTTTGTACTGGAAAGAGAGGAATCTTGTTTTTTTATAAGGTCTACAATAGGTAATTTATACTCTAAGCTTTAAGAAACTGACTAATCACAGTCAAGTATTCCATTCATACTTGACTGTAATCAATTTCTTAAAGTTTAGGGCATAAATTACCTATTGTAGAACCGGTCTAACACTTAATCATAATTAACAAAAATAATTATATATGATATATTACTTTCTTTAAAAGTACTTATACATTTTATGATATATTACTTTCTTTAAAAGTATTTATAGTGAAAAAATAATATGATTATTGTTCATCTCACACAAAAAGTAATAAAGTATAACAAAACATTTTGTACTAGAAAGAAAGAAATCGTTTGTGTGCTCCTATAACATTCAGTCAATGAACAAAAATAATTATAACATTTTTATATGATATATTATGTTCTCAAAAAATAATGCAATATTTCGTATTAGAAAGAAAGAAAAAGAGAAGGGAAGAAAGAGAGAGAAAGGGAGAGAGGAGAGAGGAGAGAAAGATAGAGGAAAAGAGAGAGGGAGAGGGAGAGAAGGAAAAGGACGAAGAAGAGGAAGAGGAACAGAGAGGGAAAGGAAGGAAGGGAAAGGTATAGAAAGTTCTGGGAAGTTCCCTCGAAAGAAAAGGAGGTTCCAGGTCCCCTCTGGAAAGGCCTTTCTCGGGAGGAAGCTTCCTTTCTTCGAGGAACCTTCCTCTTCCCCGAGGAATTTGAACTTTCTTTGTCTTTCTTTCTCTTCTTTCTCTCTTCTCTTTCCTTTCTCTCTCTTCTCTTCTCTTCTTCCCTTCTCTTCTCTTCTCTTCTCTTCTCTTCTCTTCTCTCTCTCCCTTCCCTTCCCTTCTCTCTCTCCTCTCTTCTTTCTTTTTTCTCTTCTCTCTTCTCTTCTCTCTCTTCTCTCTTCCTTCTCCCCTCTTTTTCTCTTCTCTTTCTTTCTTTCTTTCTTCTTCTTCTCTCTCTCTCTCTCTCTCTCTCTCTCTCTTCTCTCTCTCTCTCTCTCCTCTCTCTCTCTCTCTCTCTCTCTCTCTCTCTCTCTCTCTCTCTCTCTCTCTCCTCTCTCTCTCTCTCTCGCTCTCTCTCTCTCTCTCTCTCTTCTCTAGAGAGAGTATTTGCACTTTTTCTTAAGATTATTCCACAAGGTTCGAATGGCACTAACAATTCATAGATCTCAATGATAGGCTGATTTCCTTTATATTTTTGATCATTGACTCTGCTAAACGAATGTCTTCCATTTCTTTTCCTTGTATAACACAGAGACGATACGGAGATTCTATATCATCTTTACTCATATTAATATGTGTGCCACTTTTATCTTGTATGTTTTTGATCACTGAACCACCTCTTCCTATTACAACAGCTGCATATTGCTTAGGCACTTTGTATTGTGGTAGTGCTGTATGGTGATCTGGATGTTACTATCCGACGAGATTTCGTATCATCATCATTATCATCTCTTGTCTCATCATCCTTTGCAAATACAGAATATAAGATGTATTTTAAATTTATTGTCTCAGTTTTCCTCTTTCAGCAGCTCTTCTCAACCATCCTTGAATATGTTTTTCTGCTTCTTTAGTTGTTTGACAATATCCTCCTATTTTAGAGGCACCTATTTAACATAAAATGAAACAAAATTATTTAATTTATGCAATTTAAAAAAATAGGAAACATTTACATTTTTTTTTATATTTTTGTTTGAAATTTTTAGATAAATTTTTCTAGAATGTAATACTCACTTATTAAAACTTTGCAAATATTAAGGTTACAAAACGCTTTTTTCTTCTTTCGTCCAAAAAAACTATATTTATCCGCAATCTCATTTGTTAATATCATAGAAAAACTAAATTCACTAAAGTCGCTCAACAATAGAAAAAGTTATAAAATATACAATTAAGCTTTTATTATTTTAATATTAGAAAATTTGTCATCTTGATATAGTATAAACAATGTATGTGTATAGTGGAAGTAAAGAAATAATGTTACGCAACATTAAACATCTAACACATTTTATTTAGTCTTTAAGTCATCGATACTCAAGTTGGTATTCAGCATTGAATGTAAGATAAAATATAATTATATATATAACAAACATATAATTATATTTTACTTTACATTCAATGTTGAGTATCAATTTGAGTATCGATGACTTCCAGACAAAATGAAATGTGTTAGATGTTAAACGTGGTGTAATATTATTTCTTTACTTCCACTATATGCATAACAGATAATTGGAAATTATATCTTACCTTATCTTCAATATTGAGTGCCAATGTGAAATGTCGACTTTCCCGAACACAATGATGTGTTAGATGTTTAATGTTATGTAAAGTCTGTTTATTCCTCTGCTTCCACTGTATACATAACAGATACTCTGAAATATAAAATTTGATTAAATTGCAAGAAAAAGATGTGATAGAAAAATGTATGTGTATAGTGGAAGTAAAGAAATAATGTTATGCAACATTAAACATCTAACACATTTTATTTAGTCTTGAAGTCATCGATACTCAAATTGGTACTCAACATTGAATGTGAGGTAAAATATAATTATATATATAATAAATATATAATTATATTTTACTTTACATTCAATGTTGAGTATCGACTTGAGTATCGATGACTTCAAGACTAAATAAAATGTGTTAGATGTTTAACGGTGCGTAACATTATTTCTTTACGTCCACTATACACATACATTTTTTTATATTAAAGATCATATTAAAATCTTAATAAAGAAATAGTAAAATTATAATTAGCCATAAATTTTATAGGTACAAGGTACATAGAGGAAGTTATAACTTTGTTTTAATGGACTAAATTCACAATTAGCATAATTTTCGTAAAAATCAACGTAATAATTATTAAAAACAATTAAAGAAGTCTAATAATGCTATTCTGAATATTATATGAAATTATGTGCCTTAAGTTTAATTATATTTTTTATTTTATTTGGAATTTTGTCACCTTAACCTTATTACTATTTTTCGGAAGGCTGCAAATTTACAAGAACCAACAAATACAAGGAAAATATTATGAAAAGTACACGAATAAATATGTAAGCTAATTTATTTATAACTTTATAGAGTTGATTTATGAATTTAATAATGAAATAAATAAGGATTACCTTCGAGTATGTATGCACAGCCTTCGGAGATAGCGAAGCCAAGGCGGGAAGGACGAAAAAAGTTGAATATCACAGTCACGTAATATACGTTTAGAAAACATCGAACAAGTGAGTGCTCACACGATAATCACTGTCACTAGGTAAATTTTGGCTGTGTTTCAAAATTCACTGTCAATACTGCTAAAAATTTATAAATATATACGTAACGTATAAACTATCGATTGTGTAACTTTTTCCAAAGTGAAAAGGTGAAAAGTGAAAAATTTCTTCCAATCACACATTAATTTTATTTTAAAATCAATGCGTGATTGCCGAAAATTTTTTACTTTAAAAAAAGTTACACAATTGATACCCAACACTAACTTTAAATTTCAGAACACACAGCCTTTATAACAGACTCTATATATGATCGAAGTATATCGAAGACGTTCAGAGAACATCCAAAGGATATTCTAGATATTCTCTGAACGTCTTTGGAACATGTATGCTGAGTTATATTGCGTATATATGAAAAAAAATTATTTCATCTACGCATAACTACGATCCGTTATATTGCGTTTATTATTTCCTTATGTTATATAATATTTATATTCTGTTTGCTGAAAAAAAGGGTTTATAACTATTTTACACGAAATTATTTTTATCGATAAGAATTCTTTACATATATGCATAAAATAAACATTTTTAAAACGTCCAAATATAAATATACTTTGAACATCCAATAATGGATATTCTTAAAACGTTCGTATTAAGTCCATGGACGTTTGTACCAAATAAAAACCAAAACTGGACGTCCACTGGACATTGTGTGCTGTCTGGGTATATATAGTAGATTGTATATTTCCTTTGAAAAATATATAAAAATATGCATATATCATCAAAATATATAAAAGAGCAATATTGAAATTGTGTTCAACTATGTCATAAAGAGACCATTTATATATGTATGTTTTACTGTCATTGACGCTTAGATGCGTGTGTGAGATGATTCGACAGTAAAAATATATTATATTGTCTGATTTCAATATGTTGAACACACTAAAATAGCTTTTAGACATATATGGATTATTATCGATAAGAGCGGAATTAAAATTATCGATAATTATCGACAATTTTAGTTCCACTCAAATGAGGGCGCTAACCCGTCGGAGTTCGGCCAACGCTCCGGCATCCCCTTAATAAAATAAAACTAGATTATTTACACATTAAAAATATTTTAATAAAATTTGTATTATTTATTGTTTAAAGTTTAAGTCGAATTTGTGTAAGTAGCAATTTTTACACCTATACGGTGAGCCATATTACTATTAAATAATTTTTCTTTAGACTTTTGCTATATTGAATAAATAGCAAAACGGCGTTCTACATAAGTTTCTAATAATCGCACAAAACATACTTTTAAAAAATTAATTTTTTCAGATTAAAAAAATGTTCTAAATTTTTTCTGATTTATTATACATACCTCAAACACTTTTGGAACTATTTACTAGAACGTAATTCGCACAATAATACCATATATTTATGCTATTGAATGTACTGAGGAAAAAAGGCACAGAAAAAAGGTTGATTCTTAAAAATGTATTTCGACGCTGTTCATTCACTATTTGCAATGATAATCGAGTCACAAGTCGCTCGCTCCTTCTGTAGGTTAATCTGCATATGCATGTAAGTTTCATTTGTTGGATGCGTGGTCGAATTCAAGCACGCGCCAAACAAATAAAACTCATATGCACATGCACATTCTCTCTCGCGCGCGCGCGTTTCCAGTTTATCTTCTCCAATTCTCAACCGATTTTGTTCACATTTTTTTCTATAAAATTTAATTACCCCGAGCATATAAAGTCAGAAATGCAAAAAACGTAAAAAAAATTTTAATAATAAAAAAACTCAAAGAAAAATTTCAGTAAAATCGGTTGAGAATTGGAGGAGAAAAACGGGAAATAATTTTCGCCGAAAACGCCGGAAAAAGTAGCACTTTAAACGTTCTTTAACAGTAATGATCACGAACATATTTATATTATGACTCTTTTAATGAAAATCAGAATGTATTTCGAATATAAATCTAGTGTTAATAAATTTTTTTAATTCAAAAATTTTTTTTAATTCAAAAATTGAAAATTTGCCGCCCCCTAAAATCTGCCGCCTTAGGCTATAGTCTATCCAGCCTAATGGGAAATCCGCCCCTGAATGTTTGCCGTTTAATATTTAATTATTGCTAATTTATGTTTTAACATTATATACTTTATTTTGAACACTTCTAATGCTATGAATTAATATAATTCTAATTTTTTTTTTATTTCTATTTTGTTATGGTTCTTTAGATACAGAGTAAATGTTATAAACGCAGACTACGTAGAAAAATAGAGAAAGAAAGACAGAAAAAAATTAGACGCAGTGAAATTAAGAGAATAGTAATACGAGTTCAGACATCATTCGAAGAAAAATCAAGTAATGAGTTAGATGTAAACTTAAATGAAAATTTAGATGAGTTATTAGAATCTGACAATGAGATATGGTATTTTGTGAAAATGAAGACACTGTGATTGCTTCCAATAGATTTTTATACAACAGATATGAACATGCAAGAGAATCTCATGACTCTGAGTATGAAATGAATAATGATAACTTTGTTGCTAATAGTGACGAAGAATTATCTAGTGAATCTAGTAGCAATGATAATATAACTGATTACAATGAAAATGAGCAGTCTGAGTTTACGAGTGATAATGATGATGTTTTTCAATTTCCTAACAATGAAGCTAAAGAAGTGTATGTTACAGAAACAATCCGTGAATGGGCATTAAAAGAGGGAATTCTCTCCATGGAAAAACTTAACGATTTATTATTAAGACTGCATGTAGTGCATCCTACTTTGCCAAATAATTATAAGTCACTATTAAAGACTCCCTCTCATTTAAATATTACAGAAATAGAACAAGCTCAAATATGGTATAAAAGCATACGATTTAATCTTGATTCTATGTTGCTGGAAGAATATTTAAAATATATCATCAAATTTGCATTAATGTCAATATGAATGGACTTCCAATCTCTAAAAGTTCACCTCTTAAATTTTGGCCAATATTAGGTTATCTTGTTGAATCGAAAAATAAACCATTTGTTATAAGTATTTATTTTGGAAGAACAGATCCCAAAGATGTAAGAAGCTTTTTAAATAATTTTGTTAATGAAGTTGAAGATTTATTTCAAAATGGTTATACTTTTAATGGGATTACATATCCATTTAGTATAAGAAATTTCATTCTTGATGCACCTGCTCGTTCACTGATAAAATGCTGTATAGGACATGGAGGATACGGATTATGTGAAAAATGTACTGTTATAGGAAAGACTGTACATTCAAGACGGGTTTATCTTGAACTTAATGAACCTTTAAGAACAAACGAATCATTTAAAAATAGGGATCAACCTATTCATCACTGCGGACAATCACCTTTTGAACAGATTAATATAGGAATGGTTTCTCAATTCAGGTTAGATCTTTTCACTTGGTTTGGCATGGAGTGTTTAAACGATTGCTTCAAGTGTGGCACACATGGAATGGTCCGTGGAAACTGCATAGAGAAATAAGAAAGAATATATCTTTTCTTCTTCTTTCCTTAGCAGACACTTGTCCAAGGGATTTTGTTAGAAAACCAAGATCACTAAAAGACTGGACAATGTATAAAGCTACTGAAGAACGTCGTTTATGTCTTTATGATGGAATCGTAGTTTTAAAGATAATCTCCAAAAAAATGTTTACCATCATTTTTTACTGTTGCATAGCGCTCTTACTATCCTTTCTAGTCCCATGCTTGTTCAGTCAGAGATGATGTGTTATTATGCCGATGATTTGCTACGAGCATTTATTAATCATTCTGTTACAATTTATGGTAAAATGTTTGTGGTATATAATGTGCATGCACTTGCTCATTTAGCTCAGAAATGTTTGTCTCATAGATCATTAGATAAGTTTAGTACCTTTCCTTTTGAAAATTGTTTAAAATCTCTCAAGAGTTTACTTCAATTAGGTTACATCCTTTACAGCAAGCTGCGCGTCGTGATATTGAAAAAACAGTGTCAGTGTCAGTGCATCTTTCAACTAATGATAAAGAAGTTATTTTGTCACATAGGCATTATTATTGTGGCGAAGTCATTGAAGGTTCTCATTTTCAAAGTATTTT